CAACAGGTCCTGGTCATGATCCATTTGAGGCTTTAGTTGTCTCTCATCAGGATAGGCTGCTATCCAACACTAAACTGCTTCATTCAACACACACATTCATCCCACGAACTAGAGCGCCTCCGGTATGTTCTCGCTTTTTTATTATTATGGGGACAGCTTAAACTAGAATCTGATGTGTTATACACTGTTATTATGTTCTCCCTGATAGATTACTGCCCAATGCTCGGATAGAAATTTTGCTTACAGAATGACTGAAGAACTACATCATCCATGGGTTAAAAGGTTGTTGATTGGGTTTGCTCGCACATCTAAGTTTAATGGGCCCAGAAGGCCAGATGGTCCTCATCATTTAATTCAAGAAATTGATTCTGAACTACCTGTTGAACGACCTGCCCTCCAGCTTACATATAAAATATTTGGTTCTTGTCCACCCATGCAAAGTTTTGACCCTGCAAAGTTGCTAACGGTAAGAATATTTCTTGTTTGCTTTGTAGTTTCACTTTTGGGCTTTGATTTATATGTTTTTTTTTTTTTTTAATATTATGATCAATTTATTTTTCATTAGGATTCTGGCAAGCTTCAGACACTTGATATATTATTGAAACGCCTCCGAGCTGAAAATCATCGTGTTCTCTTGTTTGCACAAATGACAAAAATGTTGAATATTTTGGAGGTACTTTTTACCTGTTTCTTCTTAACTTTTATCTTATTTCCTAGGTTTGTGTGTTCTATTTTCAACTTGATTCATAGATATATTGTAAAAACTGTTTGAATCGAGCCTTAATCATATTCATCGGGTGGATGGGTCAAAAATTTATGTAATAAAACAGAAGCACTTGAAAACACTCTTAAGGCAAGGTGTACACTGTATTATTTGTAATGCATAATGGAGTGCAATTGCAAAGTATAACTGTTATCAAATCTTGTATGCTTTGGAATTAAAAATGAGTGTTTTAATTCTATACATATGAAATTCAGATTTTATTTTAATCACAACATCTCAATCTCCAATAACAGAATTAGTGTTGTTGATTGATTGTTTTATATTGATGGATTGCTTTGGGTTTTGTCACTCGTCTGTGTCCACAAAATGTTGGGGCTGACTCTTTATATATTTTTGCAGGACTACATGAACTATAGAAAATATAGGTACCTGAGGCTTGATGGGTCTTCCACAATCATGGATCGACGGGACATGGTCAGAGACTTTCAGCTCCGGTAGGGATTTCATTCACATGCAACCCATTCTAAATATCTTCCAGTAATCAGTCTTTTTGTTTTATCTCCTGTTATGAAGCAATAAAATAAATAAAATATTTTCTTTGTTTTCTGTTGCAGGAGTGACATTTTCGTGTTCTTGCTGAGTACCAGAGCTGGTGGACTGGGTATTAACTTGACAGCTGCTGACACTGTAATCTTTTATGAAAGTGATTGGAATCCAACCTTGGATTTGCAAGCCATGGACAGAGCTCACCGTTTAGGGCAGACAAAGGATGTAGGTTCCTGCTTCTTAAGTCTCTAGTATCATTGTGTGTAAATGACTTGATGTCACCAAATTTATTTCATGGTTCTTTTGATAACCTTGCTTATGTTATGTCATATAACGTTCTCACATGCATTTCTGCATAGAATTTGCAACTTTTTTGTTGTTGTGTATGAATATACTTGTTTATTTTGAATTTTTGAACATTTTTTAGTAAGTAATAGTGAGTTTATTTTGCAAAGTTATTGGATTTATTAGTTTAAAATTTTAACACCAATGTTGCATGTGTAGGTTACTGTCTACCGACTCATTTGTAAGGAAACGGTTGAGGAGAAGATTCTGCAGAGAGCAAGTCAAAAAAATACTGTCCAGCAGCTTGTCATGACAGGTGGCCATGTTCAGGGAGATCTCTTGGCTCCTGAGGATGTTGTATCTTTACTTCTGGATGATGCACAGGTGGAGCAGAAATTAAGAGAAATTCCACTGCAGGTAAGATATAACTCTGATAGGGTACAAGTTCTCTTCTTTCCCCAGCAGGAAAAGAGGCCTTAAAACTGCTTGTAGCGTCTATACTGATTTTTATGTTTTATGTTCCCTCAAGGCTAAGGATAGATTAAAGAAAAAACAACCAACGAAGGGCATACGGCTAGATGCGGAAGGTGATGCATCTTTGGAAGACTTAACAAATACTGGAGCTCAGGGTACTTGGGCTGAGCCATCTCCAGATCCAGAAAAAGCCAAATCAAGTAATAAAAAGGTACTAAAGGTCATAGAGATTCCAATTATAATGGAAATTGCTGTCATGTTGTTTTATAAGAATTAATGAAGACTAGATAAGAGAAATTCTGGGATATCCTGAATAAAATAATATGAAAAAAAAAGAGCTATGTTAAGACTTCTGACATAATCTGATATTTTCTTAATGCGAAAATGTTTCATAGTCCTATTGGTTTGTCTTGTTATATTAGTTTCTGGAAAGAATGATTTCCTAATTATTTCTGGGTGATCCTTGATCCCCCCTTTACCAACCATTGAAAAGCATAGAGAAACTATGTATCCACTTCGAAGGTGGTTGTGTTCTACATCTTGCTTTTGGTGTTGCTGACCATGAGAAGTTGAGAATGAACCTCTTTAAGCAGGACTTTCTGGGTGTTAACAAATTTGTTTATCTAAATGTATGTGCAGAGGAAAAGCGCATCTGATAGGCAAACTTCTGCCAAGCAAAGGAATTCTCAGAAAATGAGTGAATCTAGCCCTCTGAACAATGAGTTGGATGATATCCTTCAAGAAGATGACTTCCAAGCACAGAGACCCAAGAGGCCTAAGAGGCCGAAGAAGAGTGTGAATGAAAACCTAGAATCAGCAATTCCTAATGCATCCGTGTCGGTTTCAGAGCAGGTTCAGTATCCACCTGGTTATGAGTTTGGTCCTGGTGGTTTTAGGACTGATGGAGAATAACACCTCTATTGAACAGTAATATATTGTCATGATAACTTCCTGGAAGCAAAGCAAGGTTAATTTTTAAGTGCAACTCTTGTTGGATGGTTGTGGAGGCCGTTTCAACTGAGATGGAGAGGCACCGATGTCATCCTTTAATTATGTTCCTGTTTTGGCTGAAATTGCTGAAATAGGAGATAGACATGTTGAATGGTATAATGGTATGTATATATATGATTTGTTTGGGGGAGTTGTTCTAGATTTAGTGGTTAATCACATTAGAAAATTTGGGTAAATATAGGCGGGATGGTATTATAAGTAATGTTGTTGGTTTAGGAACAACAGACGAGAGGAATTTTATGTTTACAAATCACTTTATTTTAGGTTCCTTGCCCCCACCATAGCTATTACTCTATAGCTATTACTCTTATCCAACTGGATCATGTTTATGTTTTTTTTGTTTTTTATTATTATTATTTTTCAATTATCATCATCATAGAATTCTAGATTCGTTTTAGCGGAAAAAATAAAAGCTTCTCCTTATCACTTTATCCTCGTTATTATGTGTCGTTTTCGCTAAGAATCTTTCTACACACTTGTATATGTGTGGGGTTGGGTTAAATACAAATTTTGCCTCTAAATTTTATAATTTTTATCACATTGATATTGAAAAATGTCATATTAGTATTTGAATGTTCAAATTTGTTATCACGGTAATATTTGGGATTAACATCATTAGATAATTTTGACATAGCATAAGCATCTAATAAGATAATGTGTTAAAAAAAAGTTTAATCAGTAATACATCATTAATGATCCATCGTCTTTAACAGAAAAATTCAGAAAAATTTTTAAAAAATTTGAAATAATTTTTTTTTTAAAATTTGAAAATTCAAAAATTTTTAACAAAATTCATATAAAAAAATTTAAACAATTCAAAACAATTCAAAATTTTTTTAAATATATATTAAAAAAATCTAAAAAAATTCTGAAATTTTTTTAAAAAATCTAACAAATTTTCAAATATTCTAAAACAATTTCAAAAAATTTTAGAAAAACTTAAAAATTTTAAAGAATTCTGAAAAAATTTAAAAAATTTAGAAACTTTTAAAAAATTTAAAAAAATATAAAATTTCTAGAAAATTTTAAAAACTTCAAAAAGAATTAAGGAAATTTAAAAGATTTCAAAAAATTTCCAAATTTTAAAAAAAAATTCAAAAAATGAAGATTTTAACAAAATTTAAATAATGTTAAAATTTAAAAAGTTTTTGTAATTTTTTTTAAAATTTAAGAAAATTTAATTTTTTTGAATTTTTTTATTTTAAAAAATTTAGAAGTTAAAAACTTTTCAAATTGTGATAATTTTTATAATTTATAAAAATAATTCATATTTTTAATTTTTTATAAATTTGAAAAATTTTGATAATTTTTCAAAAATTGTTATAATTTTTTTAGAATTGTTTAGAATTTTAAAGTTTTTTAAAAAATTTCAAAAATTTTATTAGAAATTTTTAAAAAATATTTTAGTATTTTTTATAATTTTTTGAAGTTAAATTTTTTTTTATAAAATTTAAAAACTTTTAAAAATATTTTAAAATTGTTTTCAAAAATTTTCAAAGTTTTTAGATTTTTTAAAAATTATTTTTAAGTTTTTAGAATTTTTAGAATTTTTAAAATTTTAGAATTTAAAAAAAAATTTTAATATTTTTTAGAAAATTTTTAAAAATTTTTTTAGAATTTTTTAAGCAATTTTTTGAATTTTTTCTGAAATTACCTTTTAAAGATGAGGTAGTATTAATGATGTGTGTTACTTGACTAAACTTTTTTAACATGTGTTAACATGATTATATTATGTTAACAAAATTAACTAACAAAATTAATCCCAAGTACTAATATGACAAAAAAATTCTTTAGTTATCAATGTAACCGAAATTATAAGATTAAAGGACCAAATATGTATTTCACCCATATAAGTTTAATTGTGAATAAAATATCAAACATTGTAGTATGCATTAAGCTAATTTCCATTCGTTTATATATAGGTAATTTTTATTTATTTTACAACTATCTCTCTGCCTGAGTTGATGGTCAAGGAGTTTCACTGTCTCTGTCACGAAGGTATAGGAAAATGTATATAAAATTTTAAAAAACATATAATGATCCAGGAAATTCCAACAAGAAACATAAAATCTTTTATCCTTAAATTTTGCATTATTTTAGGATTATTTAGCATAATCATTTGATTATGATTACTCAACACTCCAAAGTAAAGTCAAAAGCAGTGAATAATAAAAAAGAAACAGCAGCATTATTAAGGAAAACTCCCACACTTGTTTAAGGTCACACTATATTTTTCCAAGTGCACAAAACCTCCTGAAATTAGAGCTCAAGAGCCTGAGCATGGTGGCGGATGTGATCATCAATGAAGGTGGAAACGAAGAAGTAGGAGTGATCGTAACCAGGCTGCAATCGCAATAACACGGGAACGTTAGCACTCCTACATGCCTCCTCAAACTTGTGTGCTAGCAGTTGATCATGCAAGAATTTGTCATCTTCCCCCTGCATCCAGAACAAACTAACAGGTAAGTGCATCCAGAACGCCTAAATATGATCTTTTTGATAGTGCTACCCTTCTTTGGATTCTTGTTTTTAGCAAAACAAATATATTTTGCTAAAATCATCATCAGGATTAAGCACTGTCATAACTCAGAAACTTAATAAACATGAAAGCTGGAGACAAGAGTGTTGTGTCATGTTGGGTGACATTCAAATAAGAGACATTCTGCTTTTTACCTGATCAATTAAAATGGTAGCAGATACATCATGAAACTTTGAGATCAGGTAAGTAGCATCATATTCCTGCATTTTTTACATTTATTAATCTCCACTGTAAGGTATAAAATTAGGTAAAAATGAAGGGCATTCATCAGTCAATTGGTACTTGACCTCCCAAGCAGCTTTGTCATCACCAAGATAATTTGTGAATGCCTTCTGACCCCAGGGGCAGTTTATAGGATTGGCAATGGGTGCAAAGGCAGATACTGACTGCAAAATATAAAAGCATAAAGAAGGGAGAAAAGCAAGTAACTTAGAGCAAAGATGAATATATATCTAGTTATCCTCTAGAGAAAAAAATTAGAAATTCTAACAAGTCACTAAGCTAGATAAATTAAAATACTAATGAGGGTAAGGAGTAAATACTGCTGTCAACTACCTTATACTTGTCAAGATTTTTCAGATAGATTGTCAGAGCACCATGCCCACCCATAGAATGACCAGAAATAGATGCTTTTGATGTGTCAAGTTGAGGGAAATTTTCACTCAGAAGTTTTGGCAGTTCTGTCACAACATAATCGTACATACGCCAGTTCTTCCACTTCTCGTGTGTAGCATTAAGATAAAATCCAGCACCTAATTTAAATTTGAAAATGTAAAAAAAAAAAAAAAAGAAAAGAAGACAAGGGGGTGAGGATAGAAACTCAGTCAGAGAATAACCTGCTTTAGGTTCATCTATTTGCGACTATTTACGTGTAATAGTGTAGGAAAATTATCTAGCAATGCTCCACTGAAATTCGAAAATAGTAATTCCCACAGAGTGGCTATGCTGTGGGCAGGGAAGAATAATAAGGATTACATTCAAAGCATTAGAAAGAAGCAGTGATTCCTTGGTCTGGATCCCCAATCACCAACAAGTACTATGGGTGAGTAAGAGCCACACCCCTTGATGCCTAGCTCAATGGACCATGTGTAACATTAACATTGGTGGATCACGTCAACAGAAACCAAACTGGCTATGAAATTAATAAGCATCTATATATTTTGCTCACAAAGAAATATTTAGCAAGGTGTATATTTTATCCAAGTAGAATTCTCCTTCCAACCTTGTGCATCATTAATGATTCTTATGCACTAAAATTCCAATTTGTTAATGGAAAATTTCCATAAAAATAAAATAGAAAGAAAAAGCGGTAAAATTATAAAAAAAAAAAAAGAGAATTTTTGGTCAATATAATTGCTCTATTAGTTATTAACTGCTCTTACCTAATTTCACGAATCATCATGCCTAGATCACTTGATTAAATGACATGCTAAAGGAGTAATCTCTAGGTACACGGCATAGTCATTGATTTTTTTTGATGAAATATTCAATCATCATGCTTATGATAAGAGGAAGTAGCTAAAAATTTCAACTTCTTTTAGACTTGTACATGGCAAAAACATTAAATGGATGTCTCATCAAATTCTTGGAATACAGTCATAAAAACAAGAAGTCAGCCAACAAGCATTTTCCAAGCTTTTCAAATCCCAAAGAAAGACAAACTTCCAACATAAGAAGCATGACACACATATAAAAATGGATAAAATGAGGTTCAATGACTTGAGAGCTTAATCTTTCAGACATATTACCTAAAATAGAATAATCATTGTTGATACAACCACATAAATAGTGCAATTAAATAAGAAAAAGCTTGAAAGATTAAAAAAAAAAAAAAAAAAAGAAAGCAGCGGCCGTAGTGGATTTTTACTTTAATATGTATTTCAAGTTTCTAAAACCATAAAATGCAGAAAAAGAACAGCCAGTCCTTATACATTTATTGATTGATTATATTGGACATTTACATTATAAAACAACGATATGCAATGAATATATATATATATATATATATATATATATATATATATATAGAGAGAGAGAGAGAGAGAGAGAGAGTCATATGCAATTAGAGCAAAGTTGACTATGCTATTTCTTATCAGGAAACTTTTCCAGATAGAATAGATTTAACGTTTCCTTTCTTTTTGGATTCCCTGCTCAGAGAAATATCATACATGCCTAAGTTTGTAACATAGAACTAAAGTGGCATGTTTTTTACTCCAGGAAGGGTTCTAAGGAATTAAGTTGCGAGAGATAAAACGGTTTGATATTGGGTACAAATGTTTAAGATTTACCATAAAAGGTATCTCAAAATTTAAATTTAACAATCTGAATGTAGCATACCTACACCAAAATCCCAGCTGTCTGCCTCTCCTTCCACATTCAGGCCCCCTATAATTTAAGGGGAAAAAAGGGGAATCAGCTCTGCACATTTTAGTAGATAAAATGGCATTTTGGAGAAGATAATTATATTCATATGACATCTTTACCGGCATAAAGAAGCAGCTAATCAATTGTGGTAAGAATATAAATGGCATTTTGGAGGAAGATAATTTGTATGCACGTCAAATGTTTACATATAAGAACAGCTAACCAATTGCAATAAGAGAGATATTAAAGCACGATACCTACTGCAAATAATTGAAGTTCATGTCAGCTTCCTTACAATATGTTCATTTTGGTTTTCTATTTCTTGTAACTTTTTTCTTCCCCCACTTTCTGGATGATGTGGCATATAAAGAGCAATAAGTATTTATTAAAATGATATGGCATAGAAAGACCAAATAGGTGAAGCATCGGTTAAAGCGAACTAATAAATATTTAAACTAGTATTAACTGATGGGAAAATGACAACGTATCATAGATGCTTATTTTGGGCTACAAAAAGATAACTATACACTATGTAACATTGATCGTTATGCTGTTTTGTCACAGTGAAGTCGGGTTTCAGCTGTCTCTCAGAACATGGTGTAAGTACCAAATATGATGTTAAAACAAAGCATATCTAATTAGTTTTATTGCCTTGAGAACTTTGGTTGTATTGTGTCCCAAAAAATAGAGTCTTGAAGCACTGGAGAAAAAAGATTGAATAAACTAATAGAGATCAAAATTCTGATACTAATCTATGCTACCATTCTGCATAGATTTCAAATAACATAGATTTCAAAACGATGACAAAAAGGACCATCAAATATCTCATAAAGCTCAGAAAATCAGGATCTGTGAACCAGATTGTTAGTAGATATGATTTTCCAGCACCCAAACAAATAGATCCATAGTGACAACTACTCAAATCATGATTCTTGAAATAGCAATGCCTTTTTTGCTACAAACATGTGTAAATCAAATAATATTGGATAAACTCAGAAAACATCTTGAAGTTTAATGTTCAATTAGATTCTCAAAAAGAAATATTGTTATTCATAATGCAAGGCTGGATTGTTTTTCTGTTCACCAAAGGGTTAGATGGTATTTAACTCACATGAAACTGCATGTTAGTTCTTGGCACCATAAACAAAAAACCCAAAGGATAACTGACTCATACTCCCTCAATAAAGGGGGTGAAACGAATCGCAGGATAAAAATCAAGTCAATAATCTTTACGTCAAACAGTCAGCAATTCCAGTATCTAGCTGGAAAAATTATGGCAACAATTAGCTCAACATGGGCACTTACTTGGAGATGTATCAGGGGCAATTAGAGCAACAGCCTCAGCTGAAGCAGCACGCTGTGCTCCTGACTTTATTATGAAATTCTCATCAGTGCAAGTAAGCCCAGAAAGCCAGTAAAGTACCTGCTCAAAGATGAATGCAAGACAATACGGTTTGAAAATCTCATAGATTCAAACACATCAGATTAATATATTAAACTATTATTTAGTTAGAATAAACTATTTCAATTACAAATTTGTAACTAAAAAAAAAAAAAAAGAAAGAAAGAAGAAAAGAAATAATAAAATAATAACAAAAGGGCAAAGGCAAAGAACACCAGCAGCATAGGGCCAGAAAAATCAATGCAGCATTGCCAGCCAAGGGAGTTTTCATAACAGAAGAGAAAATCCGCATAAAAAAGCAAGAAGATTAACCCAGTTTTTCCATCCAGAAATTCACTTCACTTCAACCCCATAAAGGAAACTTCATCGTTTGCATTCAAAACAATACAACAAAAACTTTTACAGAAAACCCAAGAAAAACAGAGTGGAAAAGGGTAGGGACATACAGGGAATTTGTGGGAAGGAGAAGGAGAAGGAGGGAAGTAGATATGGAAAGTCATGGAACAGCCAAGGGTTGGACTGAAATGCTTGTATCTTTTGTTGTATCCTCCAAACATCTTTGAACTGCCAATCTCTGTCGGTTTGGTCTCCATCTTCTTCACTATCTCTTTCGCTCAACTACCACAAAATGTTTCTGATTCTTTTCTTGATTATCTCCAGATTTATCAAAGGAGTAATGGACTAATGGTAATATGTAAAGCTTAAAAAGGCTTTTTTGTTTCTTTAAAAAAAAAAAAAAAAGGGAAAGTCCTCCTAAATCTGAAGGCCCAGATGGAGGGTCTGGGTCATAATTACTTATATTTAACTTTTTTTTTCTCCATTTGTGGGTATTTGCTCTCGGGGGTAATTCATGATTTTTTTATTTTTTTTTACACTTGAGAATGTAATTCATGCGATTCTTAATTTTTTTTAGTATTTAAAATTATCATAATTTAAATTTAAATTTATTAAAATTAAAAATTTAATATTTTATCAATAAATCATATAATTATTAGCATACGTTTCTTCATCTTTGATTAACAAGGAAGGGATCATAATTAATTAAAATATGTATAAGTCTTTTTTTTTTAATTGTAATGTGACATGTTAATAACCTTTTATTTTATTTTATGTGAGTTGAAACTCCATCTCACTGTGAATAAGATCTTTCTAATTTAAAGCAAACTAAAATGAGTCCAATTAGGTTAATCACATGTCAAAATTTTTTATTTTTTATAAAAAAATTTATAATTTAAGAATAAAAAAGCATTGTTAAAATTTAAATTTTAAATCTATTAAATATCATCATAATTTTATTTCAAATTTTTACTTTTTAATGATCAGAAGAATATTGTAATTAAAAAGAATTACAATGGTCTTAAAAAATTTAAATACCACAACGATCTCTCTCTCTCTCTCTTTCTCTCCTTATATATATGTGTGTGTATAAACTAGGTTTTATCTTTTGCTTTACCATATATATATATATATATATATATATATATATTCATGAGAAATGAGAATTAAAATAGGTAGTTGAATGATATGAATTACTTAATTAATTTTCGAGGTAATATGTAACTTAAAGGAGAGAAAAATTATATATACATAACAAAATATTCACATGAAAAATATTTGAGTTTTTTTTTTTTTGAACATCACCTTTTCTAATCCAATAAAAAAAAGTCATATTATTCTTTTATATTTCAAAAATACCACAGTAAAATAATTATTTTTTATGCATATGTTTCTTATGCGTTTATAATATTATCTTAAAGGGATAATTTTTTTTTTGAGCTAGAATGTGGACCCGTGTTATGCTAAAGGGAGTTTACATAAAAGTAATTCCTAAAAATATATATTTTAATGTCAAATTCAAAAGACAATAAATTATAATGAAATGTTAATATTTAAAATCAGAATAATTCAAGATTTGAGACTACACAATTTTAGAGCTATCAGTTCAATAATTCTACAAACTTTAGATCAAACCATTCACCTAAAGTACTCTATAAATTCTAAATCTATCTAGATTCAGGATTATACATTAACTCTAGATCTTTTCATTCAAAAACCCTACTCTACTCAAATTTACAATGTCAAAGTTGCTATTATTTTAAATAAGAAGTTTTATTAATTAGCTTTTGGTTTAGGGTTTTCTTAAATCTTTTAATATTGTTTTGCTTAAATCTATTGACGTTTTTTTTTTTTTTTAAACGCTGACAATTTATTTTTCTTTCTAAGTTTTTAATCTATTTTTAACCATTATACACCTCTAACATATTATGAAAATATTTATCACAAACAGATAGACAAAATTTTAAAGGATTAAAAATAAAAATCAAAGAAAAGATAAGTAAATTAAATGAAGGCGAAGCTTTTCATAACTATGCAAAGAGGAATTGACAAACACTTTTATTGTAGTTAATGATAAAAGAACAAATTAGACATTAGAAAAAAAGTATGAATTACTTTTATTTCATCACTCAGTTCAGGATCAAATTTAAGCTCTTCATAAGTTAAAAATAGTGTCTTAAGAACAATTGCCTTCTATAATAGGTGTTTAACAAATTCAATGTCACTCTTATAATAAAAAAAGTGATGTACCATAATTATTTTCAGATTATGCAGAAATTCAACTATTAGTTCTCCTTCTCCATTGTTCAGCTCAATAAACGATTGTTTGAAAACATAAACTTGAATATGATCATCAAACGCTTCCCAATACCAAGTTATAAATTGCAAATGCACGCAGAACAAAAACATCTATGAGAATTAGCCTTGTGGACAATCAAAATTATAAAATAAATGTAGAAAACTCACATCCATTTCAATATTCTCCAAAGAAAGGCAATGTCTTAAAAAGGCAAGAAGTGCAATGAGATCACACTCTTTCACTAATTGACCAAACCAAGAAAATACTTTAAGATTTTGAAAATTTGCACATCCATTGCTGTTCACCTTGAGTTCTCTGGTAATAAATTTTCCATTCCTCCAAAAAGAAAGACATGAGACTTTAATCACACCAAAATTCAATAAAAAGAATAATTAATGAGAATACAAAGAGATAAACCCCTGAGAAAAACAAGAATTAACACCAAGTTGCTTTACATGGGCAAGATTTCTCACCAATGTTTTAATGTACTCAAATTCTTCTTTATATTGGTTATTTGCCCATTGAAAAACTTTGGCTTCAATAATGGAAGGTAAAGTACTTAAATAGATATGCATTAAATCTCTAAAGAATTGAATCGATGACAAATTTGATACATTAGCTTCTAGATTTAAACCAATCACCTTATCATATTCTTCACTTTCATATTCAAGTTTATTATCATCAAATTCTAAAAACTCATATTTTTCAAACTCCTCAATAAAGTCCTTAAATTCATCATCCTCTGTAATGTAAAAAAAGATAGAATAATCCAGGTCATTAAAAAAAATCACCTTAAAACAATTTATACTAAATCCTAATAAAACGAAAATCTCTAAATAGTTTAAATCTTCATAAGATAATAATTATCAACCTTGTAAATCCTCAGAAAGGGAATCAATTATAACTTAATGTAATTAAATACCATATAAGATCCAACACAAAGCAGAAAGTTATAACATGTTAAACTCCTGAAAGAACCCACAAATAGGCCTAAACCAGAAATGATTTTTGACCTCTTTCATAAGACACATGAGAGCTCCCACAATTTTACCTTCTTTATTTCTAGCAACAATGCCAATTCCTTTAGTTTTTGTTTTAATGTCAATAGCTCCATCGAAGTTAATTGTTTTAAGAAAAGAACATGGAAAAGGTATTGTTAACGTAAGGAAAGTGAGTTCTTATATAGTCATTCCACATTGACATTTATTCAAACATGTTTAAAGCAATAAACAAAATATTATCAAAACTAATTATGAAAAACATTTTCATAATTAAAAATTCAAATTAGTAAAAAAATAATAACATAAAAGAAAACTACAAAAATTAGAACTTACCAAGTAGATTTTGGAGTGAACAATAGAAAGTGAAATTTGCTTTTAAAGTGGGAGGATTTTGTTTGTGGACATCGGACATAAAATTTAGCTTGCTTTTACAGTTGGAAGAGTTTGCTATAAATATGCCTAATATGCAAACATGAAAAACTTCATAATCTGAATCCTTATAGCTTAGGATAAAGTCAATTAAAAAAACAAATAAAATGAACCTGCAATAAAAAATAAACAAAAAAAGAAAGAAAGAGAATTAAAAAATTAAGTAATAAAAAATCATTGGAATTTCAACTCACGAATTCTTTGTCAGAAGCTACAAAATCAATAAAGGATTGGTTGAAAGAAATCCATCTATTGAAAGATCAAAAACTAATGGTTAAACCTTTGGGGCTGGCAAAAGAGACTATAAAAAAAGGTGGTTTTAGCCATAAAGATGGCAACAAACACTGTGCCATTGGAGAAATAGAAGCATGAGTCAATCTCTTTAATGGCTCAAAGGTGAAGCTAGGGTTAGGGCTTTGAATTGATAACATTTTCACGATTTTACTTTAGGTTTTTGAATTTTTATTATTAGAGACAAATTACAGCATGGGGCAAAAGAGAAAAGGTGAATTATTTTCATTTCTTATGGTTTTGCTTGGGAAATAGATTGGTTTTAAGTTTCAAAGTGTTTTGGTTAAAGACAAATGTCAACTAATGGGTATATTTAATGAAAGAAAATTAACTACTTGGCAAAAAAGAATTGTAATGAAGTTGACAAACTCATCATTAATATATGCAAGCAAACAATTATAAAGAATTTGTTAATGGCCCAAATTTGCTTTTCAATTTTTTAAGACATCAATGCGGTGTACAAATTAGAGTTAAATGGACTGCTTTTATTTATTGTTATAGATGAACTAGGTCTAGGATTTCCTAAAAGGATTTAAATATCATAATATTAATAATATTGATTTAGTCATTAACCTTGGGAAAAAAATGCAATTATAACTTTCAAATTTCAATTGCATATAATTAATTTAGTTCAAATTAAGGGTTCATTTGAATGCGTGCTAAGATTAAAAATTATAGTAGAGGTAAGATTAGTTATTGTAGTGATAAAATTAAAATTAGTACTGAAAATATGCATTTAGATGCAAATATAGCAATGGCATTGAGATGAGTTGTAGTAAAAAGAGAAATAACTTTTAAATACATGAAATAAAAATTATATGTAATGAAATCATAATATAATAATAAATTTAATTTATTTATTAATTTATTATATAATAAAAAATATTTATTTTATTAAATTAATAAAATTATTGTATAATTTTTAAATAAAAATCAAAATAAAAAAAATTTAAATGGTAAGAACATTTTTATCTATCTAAATAAGCAATAAAAGCAATCCTTATTTTACGACATCATAAGTAATCAATCTCTTAAAAAAAATTGCATGCGTAATTTTGGAATAAAACAATTCCCAAAAGCTTTTGGATCTTCATGGTTTTATTGTTGAAAAAAACAAGATTGAAGCTTTTGGACCCAAAAGCTTTTTAAGACAAACAATCATGAAAAAAAAAAAAAGAAGGGAAAGCAAAAAAAAAAATGATGAAAAGGAAGAGAGGCATAAGAGGGGGAAGGAAAGAGGGAATGAGAGGCGGGCTGGGTTGTAGAGCTAAGCTCAGCAATATTTTCGTCCAATCACCAGGTGGGTTCACTCACTTACTTTCAATTTTTCTTAATTACTCAACACTCTATTTGGTTTCTAAAAAATTGTGCTTAAAAGGGAAAAAAAAGA